AGAGAGAGAGAGAGAGAGAGAGAGAGAGAGAGAGAGAGAGAGAGAGAGAGAGAGAGAGACAAGGGCATCAGATGCCCTGGAGCTGAAATTACCAGAAGTTGTGAACTGCCTGATATGGGTGCTGAAAACCAAACTCCAGTCCTCTTCAAGAGGCTCTGACCACTGATGTTGCAGACTTTCTCATCAGGACCGCCAGCTCACAAATAACAACACGGAGACTTATTAATTATGAAAGCTCAGTCTTAGTTTGGGCTTATCCCACTAGCTCTTATAACTCAGATTAACCTGCTTCTATTGATTTACAATTTATCATATGGCTTTTAACCTTTCTTTCAATCTGTATGTCTGACTCCCTCGGTGTCTTGTTGGCATCTCCTGGTGCAATCTGCATGTCTAGATTCCTCCTCCTCTTTCCCCCCGGAAATCCTGCCTATCTCTCCTGCCTAGCTATTGGCCATTCGGCTCTCTATTAAACCAGTCACAGTGACGCACCTTCACACAGTGTAAACAAATATTCTGCAACACACTGGGCCATTTCTCTAGCCCTGCCCTGTCCCTCCCTGCACACACACACCCTTTTTTTTTTTTTTTTTTTTGTGAGTTTTTTGTGAGGCTTGGCTCATGTAGCCCAGCTACCCTCAAACTCACACTACACCCAAGGATGAATTTGAATCCTGATCCTTCTTCTGCTACTTCTCAGGGGCTGGAATTACAGACTATTAACCCCATGCCTAGCTAACAGCTTCCACTGTGTGTGTGTGTATCTGTATGTGTGTGTGTGTCTGTGTGTGTCTGTGTGTGTGTGTGTGTGTGTGTGTGTGTGTAGGGGTATTTTGCCAGCATGTATGTCTGTGCACTACATGCATACAGTGCCCATGATGGTCAGATGAGAGCATGGAATCCCCTGGAACCGGAGTTACAGATGGTTGTGAGCTTCCATGTGGGTGCTGGGACCCAAACTAAGTCCTCTGAAGGAGCAGCCAGAGCTCTTAACAGCTGAGCCATCTTTCCAGACCCAGCTTCAATTTTTTGAAAAGAAAATCAAATAACACTGGAGTTTCCTTTGTGGTTTGGACGAAATCCCTCTTGAGTAACTACAGGGTCAGCTCCTGTATTTTGCTAGTTTTGAATGTTTATTATTTCAAACTTTGGGGGTGGGGTTGAAAATTGCTCCCTTCTTGGGGGTAAAAAAAATGAGCAAAATTGTCAGAAGTGAGCTGTCACCAAAGCCCGGAAGAGCCATTCTCTTGACAAATGGCTCAAATCTCTTGCTATAGACCAGGGAGACACTGTGCCTCTGGTAAGTCGCCCATCTTGCCTGAGGATATTCCAACTCAAACAGGTGACCCCAGAGCTTTGGATAAGGTGTCAGAAGAAGTGGATAGAGAGCCAGGGAGCGCTGGATGAAATGGTAAGAGCTAGCATGTCATCTAAACATGCCTTTCCTGGTAATGAATGATGAATGACCTCACAGGGGTGAG